TGGCCTTGGTAACATATCTTTAATTTGATCTTCTTCCTCCTTTGCCTTGACCATAGTTCTTGCTTTGATGCTTCTTCATAACAGTAAGGCTCAATCATGGCCATATTGCAAGTTTCATATATGCCTACCAAAGATCTTACTCTTCTTGGACTAGATTCATGTGAAGAACCTTCCTGTTGTGGAGGTGGAGAAAGCGTACCTGAATTTTCTGCCTCTTCTTGAGTTTCTTCTTGAGATTGTTGCACTGGAAGTAGAATGTTGCTTTTAACAACTTTTTCTTCTTCCCAATTCCAAGAAGCATTTTCATCAACTTCAACATCTCGACTGATGATGAGTTGTTTTGTTTGTAGGTTGTAGACTCGATAGCCTTTTGACTGTGTGCTATATCCCAAGAATATTCCTTGTATAGTTTTGTCTTCAAGCTTGTGCCTCTTTTGATCAGGAACATGTATGTAGCAGATAGATCCAAATACTCGTAGATGTTTAGCTGATGGCTTTCTCCCACTCCAAGCTTCAATAGGAGTCTTGTCTTGGACGGCCTTAGTTGGGCATCTATTTAGAATGTAAACTGCAGTGTAGACTGCTTCAGCCCAAAAAGTGTTAGGCATACTTTTCTCTTTCAGCATTGATCTTGCCATCTCCATAACTGTGCGATTCCTTCTCTCTGACACGCCATTTTGTTGTGGAGTATATGCGACTGTAAGTTGTCGCTCTATGCCTTCATCTTCACAGAATTTGTCAAACTCGTGAGATGTGTACTCCTTGCCACGATCACTTCTAAGTACTTTTAGTTGTTTTCCACTTTGCTTCTCAACAAGAGCCTTGAATTTCTTGAATACTCCAAAAACTTCTGACTTTGCCTTTAAGAAATAGACCCATGTCATTCTAGAGAAGTCATCGATGAAGAGGATGAAATACCTGTTGTTATGATGTGAAGGTGTTCTCATCGGTCCGCAAACATCGGTATGAATCAACTCCAATAAGTCTTTTGCTCTCCATGCTTTGTCTGTCGAGAATGGTAATCGATGTTGTTTTCCGAGGAGACATCCTTCACATGATTCATTATTCTCCTTCAAGCATGGAAGATCTCTCATCATGTTTTTCGTATATAGAAGTTTTAAGGCATGTGTGTTGAAGTGGCCAAATCTCCTATGCCAAAGCCATGAGTCATCAACTTCTACCTTCATGGCAATATTAGTTCCAGGTTTGAAGCTTATAGGAAAGCTTCTATTTCTCTTCTCCATTTTTACTTGGCCAATTTCTATCATTTTATTGTCATAAATTTTGCATGTATCTTTCTCAAAATGAAGAGAATATCCATTCTCCATCATTTGGCCAATACTTAAAAGATTTTCTTTAAGATTTGGAACTAGTAAAACATCCTTGATGAATTTCGTACCTTTCTTTGTCTCCACCATGACAGTTCCTTTGCCTCGAGACTCCACTGTGGTGCCATTTCCTAGCCGAACTTTGACATTGACAGATTTATCAATGTCTTTGAAGATGCTTTGATCTTTCGCCATGTGATTGCTGCATCCACTATCCAAGTACCAACTTCCTTCTCTACCAGAAGATTCTTGATTGGCGTAGAATAAGAGTTTCTCTTGATTATCTTCTTCCGCAAAGTTTGCTTGATACTTATTTTTATTACGACAATACTTTTCTACGTGACCAAATTTCTTGCAATAGTGGCATTGAGGTTTTCCATGATGCCAACAATCTTTTTCCAAGTGACTTGTCTTTTTACATATGCCACATGGAGGATATTTTTCTTGACGAGTCTTCGAGAAGCTTCTAGGATTTTCTTTATTTCTAGAAATTTCTTCTCTACTTTTATTTCCTTCATATTCTTTATTCTGAGACCGTAATTTTAGTTTTGATTGAAAGGCATTTTCAACCGAGTCTTCTTCATGCCTTTTCAATCTTTGTTCATAAGCTTCAAGAGAGCCCATTAGTTGTGTGACTGACAATGTAGCCAAATCTTTTGTTTGTTCAATCGCGGTTGCGATTGCATCATACTTTTGGGGAATAGAAATTAAAATTTTCTCAACGATCTTTTTGTCAAGAATATTTTCCCCATAGGCTCTCATCTGACTAACTATTTCTTTTATTCTAGAATAGTAGTCTTTAATGGTCTCAGATTCTTTCATTCTTAATAATTCAAACTCTCGTCTTAGAGAATGAAGTTTAATATTGCGTACCTCGTCACTTCCTTGAAACTCCTCTTGTATTGTATTCCAAGCTTGTTTTGCACTTGTGGCACCAATTATCCTTGGAAAAATTGTCTCATCAACTGCTTGTTGAAGAACAAATAAAGCCCTTGAATCCTTCTGCTTGTTTTCTTTCAACTCCTTCTTTTGAGCTGCAGTAAGAGTAGAGGTGTCTTCTGGAATATTGAATCCCTCTTCTATGATATCCCATAAATCTTGAGAGCGGAAGAATGTCTTCATTTTGACACTCCAAAAATCATAATTTTCTCCTTTGAAAATAGGTACTGGAATTGATGATGTTTGATTAGTAGTAGCCATGTGTTGAGAATATATTTGGAAGTAGTAGAATGAGTTATAGTTTTGTTTGAGGTAGTTGAAAATTTTATCTACGCCCAGTAGATGACCGAACGTAGCTCTGGTACCACTGTTAGTATTTTGAAGGTTGTGAAAGGAGTAGTTGATGTGGTAGAGAAAATGTAGAGATAGTAGAATGTAGAAGTAGTAGTTGAAAGAAGTGTTGTAGTTGTCTTTAGTTGTAGTAGATGTTAGCTCATACAAATGGTAGATGTTGGCTTCATACATCAAATGGTAGAGTTCATGGGTATTTATAGACCCATAGATTATTCTAGAACATACTAGCCACAACTTATGTGGAATGTTCTAGATTTTTACCTATGTAGAATATTCTTGATTTTTCTTCCTATCTTAGTTTTTTCTAGAATATTCTAGAACTTGTATTACATTTCAATTCTTCTATTTAAGGAGCTTCTACATTCTTCTAGAATTTGCATTACACTTTAATACTAGCACCCCAACCCAGCTAGCCCAACTCAGCCTGACACCCCAGCTCGACACTCCAACCTAGCTAGCTCAACTTGACACCCCAGCCTAGCACTAGCTTGCCCAGCCCTGCCTAGCATCCTAGCACCCCAGCCTAGCACCCTAATTCGTCCAGCCTTGCCTAACAAATCTCGAAGTAACATGGTTGTCTGCAACCCAACCTCCTCAAAACTTAAAACAATATGATGGTTCCGAATACCAATTCGGATGTGATGATCGGACTTCCACGAGACCTTTTCACCCTTCAAGCGATCAAGCAGATAATGATGTATTTGAATCCCTCACCCTTACTTATACCAATGCTCGGGCTTGGGGGCAAGTGTACATACTGACTGAATTGATAGTAACGTTGGTTGGCAAATGACATTGACGGACAGGTCCAAGTTAAGCAAAGATTAATGCCTAATCAGTAAATTAGCACAATAAATACAATTAGGAACCTAGTGGGCCATAGTTAGGCCTTCTCTAAAGGTAACAACCCATTAAGAGCATTATAAATATGGTATGTAGGTAAGCCATTAACTACTTTTTAAACTACTTGCATTAATTACGTTTGACTATATCGAGCATTTACTTGAATGTCGAAGTGTTTTTTACTGGTAACTAATCGATCAGATAAAGTGAAGAAAATAAAGAGAGCTGCATTAGAGAAAGACGATCAACACATATTAATAGTTATAAGAGCTTGGAGATTAAGGGTTTTCTCAGTTTTGAATGAACAGAAAATATTTGTTAACCATATTTTCCAACACTGAATGAACTATTAGAAATAAAAATAATAATAATAAATAGACTATGAATTTAAACAAACAAAACCAAATTTAAAGCAAAAAGTATAACTATATTTAATGGATTTAAAATATAGATTTAATTAGTAATTTCATCTATATTTATGTTTCACAAATTTTTTTGTAAAGAATAGAACTACAATCAAAGAGTACCTAAGGTTTCCGTGTGTTTTTCTTCCATTATCAACAACATTTTTTTATTCTTTGTATGCTTAGTTGACATGTTCAACTGCCACCTAGGAAGGAGTACAAATAAGCACTTTTAAATATTCAAAACAAAAAGTTTTCACAGTTTCCTTTTTTTTTACGTAAAATCCATTCACAATTATTTTATAATAAAGTTAATGATAATCTAAAAAGTAATTAAATAATTGTCAAATAGTTATATATATATATATATATATATATATATATATATATATATATTAATGGTAAATATATATGTATAAATTGTTTAAAAGTAATTTCAAAAATACACTTTAATTAAAATTATATTTCATTACAAATAATAATACCATCCAATTAGCGTGATTTGAGCAATTTTACCATCAAGTTTTCTGTTAAAAACATTTTTCCGTCATATTTTTTCAGCTTTTATTTATTTAGTCTATATTTTAAGTGCATGTTCATAAAATTGACCATTTTATCGTCAAAATTTTACAAAATGATTCGTTTGTGTGCATGCAAAATACGTGAAAAATAATGTGTATGGTAAAATATACTAAAATTGAAAAGTTAACACTAAAATAAAGAAAATTTTAAATTTCGAAAAAAACAATGATATATAAGTGATAGACCACGAAATTAAACCTAAATAAAATATTTACTTTGTGCATCTTTAAGGTACCCATCAGCGTCGGCTATTATCTTTCACAACAAATAAATAAATAAATAATTCATACACATAGTTTAATAAAACAAAACCTAAAAAAATATTATTAAAGTTAGTATTTATTTAATGCAAAGAAAAATAACGTTATTTTTGAATATAATATGGTATCACGTTACGTGGATATCGGTTGATGAATTCTGCAGCGCGTTTCATTGTAACTTCAAAGAAAAAGTGACACAAAGTTCCTACGTTGAGTTTGAATACGAAAAGCTAACTTGTGGTGCTCTCTCTTTTTCTTCATTTTTTTTTGTCCCTTTTGCATTTTCTTGTTGATTTCTCTTTTCATTTTCTCAAGAAACTAAAACATCTTCTGCAACGACTCATTCAAATCAAAGTTTAGGCTTCATATATTGCATGGAAATTGTCTATTTGTCACCTTGTGATCACCCTTTCCCTATATATGTTCTCAAGCTTTGATTCTCTCCTCCAACTTGCTTACTTTCAATAAACACCTAATTATTACTTGGTCTTGCTATTCTCTCTTTAGTTGATAATTGCACTTTCGGTTTCATTATGAGTCTTGTTAGAGTTTGTAAGCGTTTTTCTTCACCCCTTTTTCAAGCTTCAAAATTCTTCCTCTCTTCTTCTTCTCATGCCCCTCAACACCAAATTAGATCTCTTGTTGCTTCTCTCATTCCTCAAGCTCAAGGTAATGTTTACTCCTCGGTCTTATAAGAGAAAATGAGTTGAGATTATCTTATATTTCCTTTTTCTATGAACAAAAATCATCCATTAATTTAATATCGGACATTATAAAAAAATGGTAATTCTTCACTTTGACATATATCAAACAGTTTAGCCATAACCATTATAATTGACAAAAGTACTGATTTTCCTCTTTAAGAAAACAGAACAGATTCATTGTTACTCATATTTTAAGCTCTAATCAGCATTGAACACCCTTTTAGGCATGGAGAACAGTTTTGGTTTCCATAGATCATACATGTCAGCCACCTTGGCTTCTTTGTCCAAAGAAGAGGAAGTGGCAAGTAAAGGCATTGAAACACTGAGAGCAGTTGAAGACCAACATGGGGGAGTCATAGTAAGCATGGAAGAGTCTATGGATTCCTCTGTTTTTGCCTTTCTGCTAGAAGACTCAATATCAAAATGGAAGGAACAGGTACAAAGTGTAAAAGTAGCAATACCAATTCATAGCTCTACTTTTTATTAGATTCTGGTTTGGACTCATCACTTCACAATGTGGTTCTTAAAGGGTAAGAGGGGAGTGTGGATCAAGCTGGCCAGAGAACATTCTAACCTCGTGGATCCTGCTGTTAAGGTAATCATTTGTCTAATTTTCTGCAACACACATGCCTAGCTTAGAGTTAGTCATGAAAATTACTAAAATCTACCACCAACCAAGTACGGGGAATCCAAGCATGAGTCTAAGTCGCACATTGGATAGAAATAAGAAAGTATAATACTATATAAAGATGAAAGACCCGTTAATCCATTGCCTTAAGGTTTTGGATAAAGAGTGGTGTCTTAAGGTTTTGGATAAAGAGTGGTGTCTTGAGTTCATATCTCATTAATATTTGTATCTCTCTAGTAAATCTCTCTTCGATAGACCAACTGTACCTACGTTAAGATTAAGGACTAATAAATCAAACCAATCAAAGTTTATAAAAGTCATCTTTCATCCTAAACAATGACATTCAACTATGATAAATCATACGAAAGAGCCTTTTGGTAGATAAAAAGGAGAAGAAGAAACATTGAGTGATGTTGTGGTGGTTGTTTTGCAGGCAGGATTTAGATTCCACCATGCTGAACCAGATTACTTGATGCTTGTGAATTGGATTGCCAACACTCCTGATACACTTCCTGCAAATGCTTCTCACCGCGTGGCTATTGGTGCTTTTGTCATGAATGCCAAAAGGGAGGTAATCAAATCAACCTCTTTTCTGTTTCCCAGTTACTTTCCCGGAAATTACTGAACCATCATTTTCTGGTTATGCTTTAATTGCATCTTTTAATTACAACTTTTTCAGTATTTCTATGCAATTGTTTTACATTTTAATGCCAAAACATTGTAAAAGAAAAGAAAAATTAATATGATTGTTTGACAGGTGCTTGTGGTTCAGGAGAGCAATGGTAGGTTTAGTGGCACGGGATTCTGGAAGTTGCCTACTGGAGGCGTTGATGAAGTATGCTAAAAAATCATTGTTCATGAATCATGGTTAATGTTTTTGCATTTAAAAGGATGAATTTGTAGGCTTAATTATTATTTTTAATCTGAATTCCGTTTGCAGGGTGAGGATATTTGCACTGCTGCGATAAGGGAAGTAAAAGAAGAAACGGGGGTAAGCTAAAAAGGATCAGAATATATATAATTTAAATCCTTTCTCCATTTCTGTGTCTAATACTTTTTCTTCTTTCAGATAGAAACAGAGTTTGTGGAGGTCATAGCATTCAAGTAAGTCATGAGATAACAGTACATACTGTGTTAGAGAGATTAGGACTATTAGATTGTTTATTTAAACTAAACTAAATTAATACTGAATCATTAATCATGGCCTTAATTATCTGTGTTCTTTCTGGTATCAGGGAAAGGCACAAGGCTTTCTTCGGAAAATCAGAGTTGTTCTTCGTTTGCATGTTGCAACCTCGTTCCTTTGAGATTCAGAGACAAGTTTCAGAAATTGAAGCAGCTCAGGTAGCATTCAATTCATAAACAATTTAGAGACAATTTTACAGATAATTAATTTTAAAAAAAGTAGTTTGATCTGAAAAAAAGAAAATATAATGATTGTAATGTGATATTTTGTTTTCAGTGGATGGCAGTTGAAGAGTACATGGCCCAGCCATTTGTGAGAGACAATGAAGTGTTTAACTTTCTGACGAAAATAGGGTTATCAAAATTTGGTGGAAAATACAATGGTTTTTCTACTGTTCTCTCTTCCACTTCCTCTCCCAAGAAATCCTACTTTTACTTCAACAAGAAGGATGCTTCTCCACCATCTTAGTCTCCAAACACAAACACAAACCCTACCATTCTTTTCTTTTCATTCCTAATTTTCAACCTTTCACACTCATTTCATTCAATCATTCACTCTTGTGTGTACATAAAATCTTCAAGGGGATACAAGGAATAATTAATGTTGTCAATTTACAATATTTGTTCATTTCATACATAGGAGGAGGACTTCACATTAAGATATTAATGTAAATTTCTAAGTCACAAATTCTAGATCACGTTTTATTCATTATTTGCTTATGTTAACGTGATTCAACTTTTTTAATATTTAATTTCGCGGAATTAAATTATTTTCCATCTATATTCATAATTTTTTTTAATTTTTATCAATCTTTGAAATCTAAAATTTAAAAAAATTACTTTAGTTCCTTATATTTATTAAAATATGATTTTAGTTACCAAACATTAAATCCAAATGACTAAACTTGCTTTAATAATAGTCATTTTAGTCTCTAATAAAGGTGTTTGTGGATTGGATTACGATTCGCACAGAACCACTATCTAACTCATTAAAAAAAATACTGAATTAGATTATCTTTTTTTTTTTAAATAAAAACTTCATCCAACATATTCTGAATAATTTTTTAATATTCTGAATATTTTTTTTAAAGATTATAATTCTTGGTTATTAACTTAATTTTAAAAACTGACAAAAATTTTACAAAAATTAATTCAAGTTCCAAATAATCTAATAAATAAAGTATTATAAGTTTATCGTTCAAATTAATTCAATACACGAAAAAACAATACAATACAATTTGTTACCCAATTCAACTTAATTACATTAAAATGAATTTTATTTATGATTGAGTCAAACTATCTTGTAAATATATATATATATATATATATATATATATATATAT